AATAATTATGATAGTTTCCACAAACTCTTGGCATGAAATTTTACAGAAACGAGAGTTTTTATAAATAAGGGAAATGTCAGCTGACATCTAAGGTTTTTAAAAACACACCATCCCTCCACACCATAAATTGACGACCATCACACCAACTTACAAATTTAAACAAACCAGTAATATTAGAAGGAATCCAGAAAATTAATCGCCAGAAAAATGCAAAGTGCTCTGTAGTGATTGCGTTACCCAGGAAAAACTGATAGCAAACAGAGATTTATGAAATCAGCACCACTCATCACCGTCTAATTATTTTCACTTAAGGTACTAAAGTCCATGGAGTAAGTCACTGTAGTAAAGGTAAAAATGAAAGGGGAGTTGAAGAGGATGAAATGCATGAAGAGTTATGGAAGACGAGAAGTAATCAAAAGAGACGTGAGATTAGCACTTATATTTGGTATAAATTCTGTTACTAGCACTGAAAAAATATCCTGTTCAATAAATGTAGGTCAGAAGTGTTCATGGAATAGGAGTGAATAAATCATTTAAGCTGCGTCATAAGGCACTATTCGATGACCTCAAAATACAGGTTTATATCGATCATGCTGTTTTCTTCACACCTATGCAACCACCAGGCAATCGAATTTTGAAAATGGTGTTAACATACGATTATTTATATTCTGAAAAGGCAAAACCTAATTCTATATTCTTACATGTTATTGAATAGATTTCTGACTATTAATTGTTCACCAATGTTCACAGATCACTGGTAGTACAGTACAAAATTTCCACTGTGATCTACATGGTTTCCAAATCAGAGTAGTATCAAGATTTTGTCAATCTATTCAGCTGATAAAACTAACTAAAAACAAGTATTCGGAGTATATAAAGTGACTTCAAGGACAAACCAGAAATGGTTAGTTGAAACATCAACAGAAAGTCAGAGTTAGTGCAGAGAATGAGGATTAACATGTTAGACTACAAAACGGCATATGCATTTTGTTATGAAACAAATGAACTTATAGAGATTTTTGTCAAATCATTTTCCTTATCCATAGTATATCTTTTAAAATGTGCGAAACACTCAATAAACGGTTATTGATGGAGCATTCTCTCGAAAAATTAGTAGCAGTGTCTATAGTTAAGAGACTCTCAAAATGTTTTCTGTGGATGCTTAGTGTTTAAAATGCTGTGGGTTGTTAGATAAATCGTCACCATAATGATAAATCTCCACATTATTTTAGAAAGTTTCAGTTACTTTCAAGTAGTATGAAATATTTATAACAATTTCCAAAGGCTCGATGACACTTCTCGCATTAGATTACTAATGTCACAATATGTGATGGTGAATTAAAACCTAGAGCTCAATCAAATTCTCAGACTTATGTAGCTCTCATAATCACTTCTATAAAATTACTGATTTAAATTTACCTAACGATTGTCAAAGTGCCCTTTCCACCATTAACTATTTTGAGGGAATACCAACAAAATTTACTTAATATTCCTATTAGATAAGTCGCTTACATTATCTAGAGATCGTTAACTATGCGATAATTATAAGCGCAGAGGCTGAAAACACTAGTCCTCGTAAGCTGTTAAATACATTCAAAGGTTGACTGGCTAATTTACCAACTTAGGAATTTCCATAAAAGTGGATTCTATAAATCACAAATAAGAACAGGAGAAAGAAATGAAGTGATTATTTTGGTTAAGGAGAATAATTAAATAAGGATCAAGGAAGATTTCCAGAATCTAGCAGATGGAAAAAGGTAAATACATCTCTCACAGTCGGAATGATTGGTAAACCCTGTTAAAACCCTGTCTACCAGGTACAGATTGTTATCATCCCGAAAATTCTAGTGTCATAGTTTACAAGAAACTATGCGACTAAAACCGAAATTCAAAAACTTCATGAACTGGTTGATACCAACACCTTGATCTAAAAATCCCTAACTCTTTTCCAACCCAATCCTATTCCAGATAACATTGATATTCGAGGTAGGAGGTGGTTAGGCAAGTGTAGACGTTGTTCTAGGCATCTCTGGAATATCACCGTTTCACTGCTTGCCATTCCTCCTTACCTTAAGCTGTAAAGTTATCGAAGGTAAACACTGTTGAAAACGCTAATCATTTGATATATTTCGCCTTTATTGGCCAAGTTTCATAACCATAAATGGCGATCAGGTGAACTGACTCACAGGAAAAATATTCTGTTGGTCGGGTATCAAAATTCATACAGTTTAGCGAATGCCAAACTAACCTTTTGTATGCTTGTTGAGAATTTGTCAACAATCAGCCTACTAGTGATGATACAACTCCCTAAGTAAGTCAAGTGGTCAACACATTCAACTGTTTCATTCCTTTTTCCTGGAACTGCGAGCCAATGCGTACCAGTTATATCACGTACGATAAGTAAAAACAGCATGCTACACATAACGAGATTTTTTTTCCCAAGAGAATCAGGAAATTCTGCATACTGTAGGTGTCTTCATCTTGAAGGAATACATTATTTGACTACTTTAAATATATAAAAATTTAGAGTGGAAAAACGAAAGTTAACGAGAAACCACAGTCAAGCAAGATCAAATCCATCGGGGAAGAATATTGCTGTTGTCATTTCAATTAATAACTCCCTGGAAGCTCTTTCACAGTAGTACTAGTATGAGTAAAGTGCTTTGATTAGTGTGATGTACTTTCGTAAAACCCTCTTCACAACTAGGTATAGCCACATCATATGTTTCAATACTTTTCACTGCTTGTCATGTCCAGTGTCTGTCATTATCAGTCTCCTTACAACAGCCATTCCGTTTGAAACTGTAGAAGTCCAGTGGAATTGACTAACCTATAGTTGCAAGGTATCAAGCGCATAAATATGTTTCCAAGCTTTCGAAGGGTGAGTACTTTCGGTAAAATCAGATAGGTATTCTGTTATCTCTTATCGAAAATAAAGGTCCCGTTTACCTGTCGAGCAGCCGGACATTTTAAGGCTTCGTATCCGTTTGTTTTCTACTTACGTTCAGCCGTAGGCACACGTATGTATTTTGATTTGACACTAGTATCTAGTGTGATTTGTCTAGTCCTTTTCATTGGTGCAGACTGAATTCTATCAGTCAGGTTGTAATAGCTCAGTGGCAACGTCTCTGACTGCAGCACTGGGTGACGCTGGTTCGAATCTCAGAAGGGACGTGAGTTCCTTCAATGTTGCAGATACTCCTTGCTGACGAGTGCCAACTAGCACCAAACCTAGGTCCAATGCTTCCTACTGATTGCCTCCAACCATCTAATATTATCAAATCAAGCATACGTATGTACTGCTTAGAACATGACTACCGCCCATGCAAGTATTCCTTCCAATCGACTACTTATTGCAAAGCCGTCGATTTGTGATCATTGATGCCTTTATATTGGTAATCTCTATGTGAGACACCGTGTACTCTTATGTTTGAAACTAGTTCTGGTCAAGCACAAACGGTTATTTGAATAAAACTGTAAGAGTGAATCATCAGAGTCCATTCTTAGGCATGGGACATCATGGAAACACCCAATATGTACTTTGGTCTAAGCGCTGAAATCAATTACTGATATAATCATACTGTAGGCAACCTTAACTATGAATGTAACTGTTGATTAGGAGCCACAACGAAATCCACATTTTACGCGCTTAGAATGTTGTTTAGTAAGACAATAAAAGCTTCATAACTAAACCATCCAGCTCAGAGTACCCAAATACACTAAAATCAAATATATGATGTCTACATTTCAAAACTCAGCAAATGAGATATACCTTATTGTAAATTGGGGAAATAATCTAATCAAAAAGAGTATGATACTGATGATTTCTTTTACCAACAAATCATAAGTGACAACTCATCATAAATAACAAGTATTTATGCTTAGAGTTAACTTCAAATTTACACAACCCCTAGAAAGGACTGGGGAGCTGCTACACAAGCCGTTATTTTCATAGTATCTTCTAGGTCTTTAAAAGAACTGATCTAAACACATAAAAGTTGATAAGTAATTCGTTGAATTCTTACTTTATACATCAGTTCTCCCATCTCTTTTTTTCCACCTCTGTTGTTGAACTCAAATATTCTGAAACTCTGTCAAAAATCGCTTGTGGATGATTTCAGTGCCTATTTGCCTCTAAACATGTTAGCGAACTCCATTAGTTTACATTCTTGGACCATAGGCTGAGGGTGTGTACTGTTTTATGTGCATAAATGAAGGACTGAAGTGGTAAATGTTATACATCTATAAAATTTACGGTTTTTAGTTACGCAGAAAATGTGTAGATCGGGATAAGGAGGAATTTGCAAATGAAACTGTGATTGTAGATTGTAAGGAGTACTTCTATAGAACATCGTGGTAATCTAGACGCACTCATGTCATATTTTAAAATTATGCACTATCGTTATACATCGTTTTCGTTTCCCAGTTTATTCTGACTCCTTTTAATGGATAACACGGATAATTTCGTACTACGGTAGATATATACAGTAAGAAAATTTTCTATCTGTTTTTATCGGCCTAACTAATCTAATCAGATAATAATGATTTCCATGTGCGTGTACACACATAGCCGTTACTAAAAACATTCTAAACACAATAAATTTTCTTGCATCTATACCCAAGTAAATATTAGGAAAATATCTCCCTGTCTTCCTGTCAAAAATGTTTTCGGTTAATGGCATAGCGCTTTATAAACCAACCTTCTTAATTCTAGAATGTTACTTGAAATATGCTAGTCGAAACACCTGTTTTCTTTGATCAAAGTTATGGTAGACTATTAAATGTTTCGGAACCTGATACTGTTTCGAGGAATGAAAAATATTTCTTACTCATCAACTCTAACTTGGATATAACTTATGTTGTATTTTATGGTTTTATCGCGTTTAACATTAATGAATCAGAGCTTTCTTTGTACACTTCACGACAAGGTTATTCTTAGAAAAATATCCAATCAAACAGTCATAATTAGTTATCCAGTCTTACTTGTCATTGGTTGGTTGATTTGATTGGTCATGTTACTACTTCACTTTAAGTTTTTTCACTGAGCAAATCTATTCACTTCATTGAGTTATTCAGCGTTGCTTAACGCACGTTGTAATCAGCACTGAAATTAATTTCTGATTCATCCAATCTTCGCTTTGTTTCCTATAAATTTAAATTAGAGCATAACATGCTCAGAATCTATCCATGGCTCATTCTAATAACTGCTGCTATGAGTGTTATCTTTCTAGGAGGAAAGCGCAGAGCATTTGGAATATTTGTTGCTAAACTGCACTCAGAATTCAATCAGACCAGTTTAGCTGAATTAAACTGGATCGGTGATTCATACGCCGCGGTGGGCTATTTAAGCACAACACTGACTACGTCAGTTATACTGACAAGTGGCCGCTGGTATGGTTTATCACAGTTTTTTGGAGCTTGTTTTGTTCTCCTAGCTTGTATAACTAGTGCTTTTGTACCGAATCCACACTGGTTATTTTTAACGCACACATTATTTCATGGAATCGGTTCATCTCTTGTATTGAGTACGTCTGGTCTCGTTGTCAATGAACATTTCGATAAAAATCATGATTATCATATACTAGCAACAACATTAGTATCTGGTGGTTCAGTTGCTTCAATATTATTTGTCGAATTATACGCTATTCTAATAGACTATCATGGATGGCGGTTGGCATTCATTGTACTCGGTGTATTATACTTTTTCGTATTATTACTTGGTGCATTTGTATTCCGGAAAGACTCTACGAAATCGGATTATCAAAATAATAAAACAGATGGATGTATTCGACTGCACATGCATTGGCAACAAAGGATACTGTTGATACTTTGGACTGTAGACAGAATTATCACGAGCATTGTAACATATGGTATGCTGTTAAATCTTGCCGACTATATGTATCGACATGAATCTTCACTACAAAAGAGTGTACTACTCACAAATTTATTTGCTGCTGGCGAAGCAACAACATATTTAATTGGAGCTTCTTTAACTGCACTGACCAAGGATTTCTTAAAAAATCGTCTTAAATACATTTTAATTGGAACAAGTATTGGTATGGCGTTTGGTTTAATAACATGGGAGTTTGTAGCTTTCAGTCATTCACTGAGTTCATTTTTATCCTATGCAACAGGATTTTGTCTTGGACCATCGGTGACATTCTTATTTCCGGCGGGTGAAGAAATGACTTTATTACCAGGTCATTTAGCCTATCCCTTCTCTTTAGGTGGAATGGGTATTGGAATGGCATTATCACCGATTCTTTCCGCCTTCATTGCACAAACATTTAAATATAGATGGTTTTTCTTAGTTCAAGGTATTATCGTTATCATTAAATGTGTCTGTCTAATATGCTCGTGGATGATATTGAAAAATTTAACAAAATCTGATATGTTTATTGTTGAAACAGAATCAATTCATGAAGAATCAAAAATATCCACTGGTAAATGTGATACAACTAGTTGTGGATCACAAGTTAATCATAAAATCTATGATAATTTATCACCGGAAATTTTTTCTTCCACCAGCAGTGAAACAGAATACCTTATTAGTCCAATCACACAAAAACGTCCCGTTTCTAAAGTGAGTTCACTGATTTCTGTTACAAGTAATTTAAAAGACTGATTACTGAACAAAGAATGTTCTCCTCAATTACTTCTTCATCAGACTCTACAGTTATATTTTCATAAAAATTAAAGATTTATTGTTACAGTCAACATTTATGTTTTTCTCAATAACATGGAATCATTGGCATCAAAATCCCAAAAGTTATATACGAACAGATTGTTAATAGATTATAATTCAAAACATGGGTATGTGATAATATGCACGGATATTTTGTCTATACAAGTGCGTTAATAAGGGGTGGAGGAATTTATCCATGCAACATGGAGGATCGTACCTAAAAAGTAAGACGCAATACTGCATTAATGAATTTATGGATTCCAAAGTCAGCCAGCGTCTCATCAGTGGCTGAACCTAGCCTGCTGTATGAATCTAGGCGAACTGTGTGGAAATTATTCACTTCTTATTCAGTTCCTATCGAAATTTCGAAAAGCTGACTGGGTTTTCAGAAGAGTTTTCACTAAAAAGTCTACCGTCGAGAGAAACGTATGTAAGAGAAATGTAAAATAGTGAGTCATACTACTGAACAATACAAGTGGCTTAACAATCCCCAGGTTCCCCTTAATTTATAGTCGCCGACTGACTTAATTCAGTTTGTCATGTCAAAAAATTTCCACCTCATTTTGTCGCAGCACACTACCTGTTATTTTGGCATCCATCTGACTGAAGTAGCAGTAATAAAATATTTAGAGCAATATAATTTCGTCAAGGAAGTGTGCACATCATGGCTGATAGTAGTCTGTGATTAATTATGTTGCTGTGTAGTATGCAAAAATGTTATTTACTGATTAAAAGACTATGGGGTGAGATTTAGCTCAGTGAACAGTGACTAATTCTGTAATCGAAGCTGCGTTCATTGCTTCAACGATTTGTCCTACTATTTATTTCCAAATATTTACGTTATGAGTCCTACTGTAGTACATATATACGTTAACATAGTTTCTGAGCAGTTGCTTTTGAATGTAGAAAGGTATAGAAGGTGAACAAATTGTGTATTACTGACGTTCTCAATACTGAAAGCTTATAATATCTTCGTGTCTCTTTTCACTGTGTTTTCTTTGTATTTGCATTAAATTTAAAGATTGCGTAGTCATATCAGAGTGACCGAATTATCGAGCTTCTTATTTAGATTACAATCGAGCGCTCTTTGTGAATGTCCAAACGAATTTCAGGGTTAGTTCGGACATTGGTTACCACCTGTGTACTTCTGAAGGGGCAAAAATCAATCTTCATAAATATCCAGTGACCTGATAATTGGTCTTATAAATTAATATTTCTGAATAATTATTCTGCTGTCTCTATTAATTTATAAATTTAATTCACATATTACTATTTTGAGAGATCTGACTGGTGTGCAGATTACATATACGTAACTAATCCAGCTTTCAGAATTTAAAGTACATACACAATGAATAATATAGGTGGTAAAGTCAACCTTCTACAAATTCATTCATATTTTCTGCTTCATTTCACTTGAAATCAATATACAGTTAATAAGAGATATAAAGATTTGGTAATAAACGTTTTGCACCTATTTTAGACTGTTATTATTCTCTATGTATATTGTAAACCACTAACCAATTTAGAGATTCCATGACTTAGTTACAACCGCTGTGTTGTAGATGGATTTAACTGAAAAGTCTTTACACATCCGAAAATATTTCTTCGATTCTCAGACTAACTAACGTTGTTCATTGTTTAAGTTAAACTATGTCAATAAATCCTCGCACATACAAAATGTTTTGTTTTCTGATCAGAGTTTTTTCTCTTCATCCACACTGAAAATATAAATAGCCAGTCTGATACAAAAGTATCTGAACAGCAGAATATTAATTTAAACATTTGGATTATAGCAGGTAAAAAACCTTTGTCAGAGAAAGTTTACGTTCATTTCAAGTTCTTATTTCACATATTTTTTTCAGTATTGGGCGAGTTGAAAGTGTTTTATGTTCACCCACTGGCTTTAGGCTTAAAATGCTATTTCATATTCTGAAATTTCAGTAACCCTGGAAGACTAAATGTTTCTTGCAGCCTAATACAAATCGTCTACGAGCTCGTCTTCTAACCAGTAGGTCCTGGATTCGAACTGCAATGCGTGCGTACTGATGAGTAATCCGAAACTGGGACAAAACAATTGTCCAGTACACTATGTTTTTCCAGTGGGTCTCCAACTTATATCAGCTCGTAATCAAACCTTTAGCTAATCATTGAATCCCTGCATATCAATAGTGCAACTGTTTATCTGTTGTTTGGATAGCTTTTATCTAAATTTCATTTTACTAAACCCTAAGGTGTAAAGAAAGTAAATTAATGTTTTTGAAATGTCATTATTTATATATTAGTGGGTATGTGTAGTCACTTGTTCATTGATCATCAGAAGGAAATTAGTTGCACAATGATAACATAAATCAATAATAATCTCAAGGTATCTAATCTATTATATTAAAAAGTGTCTTAGTTTTAGTTCAATTTACATGTTAGGTGCACTGTTTTGGATGATGTTTACTAAGTTGTTTTTGCTGTTGTTGTTATTATTGCTATTGCCTTTCAAATTTTTTTTTTTTACTATTTTACACAGACAGAAGGCTTTAGCTTTTAAATAGTCTCTGATATACTATATGATTTGCGTGCAATACAGTTTAACACTTAAAAATTGCATAAACTAGCTAGCTAGCTATTACTTGCATTCAATTGTCAATATTGAATAAAATTGATATCTAACCCACAGATGAATTTCTCCTTTCTTACAGTAGAAAGAAAACCACCAACTAAGATTGTTAATTATAAGTGGAAAGACATTTTCGTTTTCTGTCAACCATAATTTTCATCGGTATGTTAAAATCTTAGGCCGTACGACTATTAACACTCAAACTACTGATAATACTACCACTTACAACACTAATATTATCACTGTAACAATAAGTTATCATAGGTGTTATAAGATACGAAATAGGCACTAATGTGTGGAAATTTAAACTGCTGGATATATATCTGACTTGCATTAAAAGATGAATCTGCATTCACTGAAATCAATGTTGGTTGATTGAGTGTAGTTAAGAGAGACAACAATACAATTCAATAATTGAATGTCAACTGGATGAGTCATTTATTCACTTACCCATTATTTATTTACTTAGTTAGTCAATCATGTATCAACAACGATTGCCTTTAATGTGTACCTGTATTTTGATATGCATGTTAAAGCAGGCACAATACCCGTTACTAACACGAGGTTATTAGTGTCAGTAGCGTTAACTTACTCACCAAAAATTTAACACAACTAGAAAAAGAAAACGATGAGTCAACAACAGGACAACAAAATTAACAACCAAATCTCCAAAATAAGCAATAATTTCGTGAAGCGAGAAAAAACAAAGAAAATGCTAACAGTGTGATTGTAAACAACCTAACCAACAAAGAGTAAGGTTTAACTGTTCAATCTTTGAATAATACTGTTAGTACCAATGAGAAATAATCGATGATTTGCGTAAATCAATATTTAATTAGCATTTTCATCCTTAATCGTTAGTATTTGAGGAACTGATGACACTGTTTAACAAGATTTCACCACAGATACAAAACATTCCTATTGGAGTTTTCACAGTCATAATAAGTGAATGATTATTCAGTTTAAGGGGCTGGATAAAACAGGTCATTTGTCTTCACAGAGTCGAAAAGATCACTGTATTTGAAAGACTAGCCAAGTTTCGAACACTATAAACTCATCATGTAGTGAATATAAAGGTTAGGGAAACAGTACTGATGTATTGATATTATAAACTCCGGTTAATTGGATCAGGCATTTTACTTTCAACAAGTGGATCACTGGCTGAAATTTTACAATATCAACTAAGGTGTAAGCAGCCTCATCCAACGACTGGAGCCTCTGAGCTAACTTTAAAACAGTGACAGTAATGCATTCCACTAGCATATTTCCTCATCCATTTCACTTCCTTTAACTCCTCATCACTTGACTAACTTTTAACATGGATTTATTTTTAACTTCAGTTTTTTATCCTTCTTTTCATCTCAGTGTGCTAAAGAGAATGATGATAAGTTAGACCAAATACGCTTAAATATTGGTCTATTCTGCTTCTATCTGTCCAACAATCTAGATCATATTAGAAGTTTGTGAAGATCTGTAAAATAGTTGAAACACAGAATCAAACTGTTTATTATATTCTAATGGTGCTGTAAACGCAATTAGTATTGTGATACTGAAGCAATACTATGAACAAAAGTTACCACAGTTCAGGACAATATTTTCTGGTTTTCAGTGCTGATGAAACCAAGCAATCAAGTCCACAGTTTATAAATATTCATCCCATAGGTCTACAACTTATCCCCTATGGTATTTGTTGATGCGCATAATCTAATAGCCCAGTGGTCACTAGTGTGAATTTCTGCTTCACAGTAAGGCGAGAGAGAGAAAGAGTTTCATTCGAAGAAGCAGTGACAGTATTCATTTCATAGTCAACTATTCGTAAGTATTTTCAAACCCTTATCATGCGTCTATGAAACTACCTTAGTACTTGTGAGGAGGAAGAATCGGTTTTGCAATCTATTTTCGGGAGTCCACCGCCACAAGTCTAAGAAATTGTACAAATATTATACTACCTTGTAAAACATACTAAAGACAACTCATACCTGTTAGAATAATGTTTGATTATTTTACTAAAATATAATTTCTGATACGATAAACTTTTTGACATAAAACTAAGTAATACAATTTTGACTGCATGATGTTATGAGTGCAGTTTATCGCCTATAAAAATGTTGAGGCGGAAATACATTTTCCTGATCCAGTTCTTCCGCTTAGTGTTCTTTGATTGTAACAGTAACAGAAATTTTCATTCATCTGGGAGTGTTGTTATATCACTCTTATTGTATGTATTAGGATTAAGTGACACTGAGATAGATTTTTAAGAACTGTTCCTATATGTCAATGAAAGAATAGAAGACGGTCTATGATACGAGGCAGAGATTTAAACGAATTAACAGAATAAAAACTGCAAAAGCTGGTCGTCTGTCTCATCAATTCAGTGTGATTCTCTTGGAACACCGAATTGTTAATGCCAAAACGAGTAATTAGACATAAAAAAGAATCAATAACAGTGAAAATGCCATATCAATATACCTATTGTACATTACATAGGAATTCGTTCTCCGGTTATTGAATAATCCTAAATTTGGAAAACCACTATGTTTTGTTGATTCAAAAATCAGGAGTGTCGTATTTCCTGGTAAACTTTATTAATGGCCTTTAAGTGCTGTTTCCTTCTCTGGATCGAATGATTTAATAGTTGGTAGATATGTCCCTAAATAATATTCATAATGAACAATATAGTCTTTTTATTCAAAACGCAAAGAGAAGTAGTAGCAGCTCACATTCTAAACCTGCCTTTGAAAAAACCATATTCACTTGTTTCTGCAAGGCATTCAAGAGAGTGCTTC